GCAGGAATTCTTTTAAAGGATCAGATTTTGCCAAAAGAAACAGCTTCTGAAGGATGCGTTTGCTGAGTAAAGCAGCTTGGTCAGTCTGACAAGAGGGGCTGTGCAGCAAATACACGACGTGTAAATTATTTCATGTGAGTGCATTCCCCCCCCCCACGCACATCCAACTCCAGACAAGCACAGGACAAGCGGATTGGGAGCATTTCTGAAAGACAGGGAGCAAAAGGAGAAGTTTGGCTGCAAAGGTAAAGCCAACGATAACCACAGCCTCACTGGAAACTAAAATTAACTCTAGAAAACAATTAGAAAAAACAAGTATCTTCACTGCTGAAACCAGCTCATCTATTTTGGGATAATTGCTAGGATTGCCTTGCCCAAGAAGAACTTCTTACAAGCAACCAGCAGTACGTAACCAAAAGAGGAAAAACACAATACATCACATGTTCCTCCCACCTGATGTCGCAATCCTTTTGGTCAATTCTGTGTTCAAGCCCACACCCCCCAAACAAAAACCCTGCAACACCTCAAAACCAGGAACTGGCACCTTGTGATGTGCTTCACCTACAACCTCCCGGGCTCCCTCCGCTATGCAGGGTACCAACAGCTCTTACCACCAACCTAACTATAAATGCCATGAAATACAGTGCTCAGTCGTCGAAATCCGGGATGTCGTCGTAGGAGTAGCCCCGGTAGCCTTTGGACGCGTAGTACGCGATGCGCAGGTGGTAGAAGCCCGGGAGAAACACCAGGATGCCAATGATGAGCACGGGGATGGCGCGGTCCGTTCCCTGCGGCGGAGAGGAGAGATTTGCAGGTGTAAAAAGAAATCCTTTCTGGCTGACAGAAATGAAAAACTCATTTTAAATCAGAAATGTCTCTGTTTTCTTCAGGCTGAGCTCTAATTGCTCCCCCTGGTCTGGCATCTCCTTCTCCCTGCAGGAAACCCTCAACTGAACTCAGCAGATAGGAGAGGTGCCACCTCCTAACGCCCATCGCGTTACAGAACTGCCAGCCACAGCCTGGGGCTGCGCTGTGGCTGTGAGCTGGGATATCTGCACCTGGACGGCTTCCGATACAGCCCAAACGCTGCTCCTTCCACTGAGATAAGCAACGGCTGCCAACGGCCACTAATTCCATACGGCATGAGGTGAAGGGGAGAGCACGACAGAGGGGAGCACCGGCTCAGCTACAGCACCAGATCCCCTTTCAATGGATCAGAACTGCAGAGAGAGGAGAAACGCGGTGCTGCGTCCTGCACAGGAGCTTGGGATCCCTCACAGGAGTTCCCAGATCTTCACCAGGAGAACGCTGATCCCAGCGCTCAGGTTTTCCAGGTGCAGCAACAAAACGAACCCGCACCCCAGGCAGGACAAACTCAGCCCTCCCTGGCAGAGCCCCAGTCCTGCTATGAACCTGCTCCAGCCTCAATAACCAAAGCCATCAGAGGGCTGTGCTGCCAGAGGAAGGGCTGTCAGCAAACACCTCCTGCTCCGAATTTCTACACCCAACGTGACAATTCATGGCTGGTTTTGAGGCACAGGGCAAGCAACGCAAACCCCCGAAGTGTAATCAGGCCACTTACGCCTTTGCTGATGTATCCTGCCAGGAGGAGCGCTGCTATGACGATGAGGAAGGTCCCGATCATGAAGAGCACAACAGCCAGCGCAATTGCCTTGTAGGGGATTTTGGGGGGGCTCTTCTTGAACTGGATGGAAAAACCAAACATTAAAAACAGCGTAACTGGGCACAGTTCCCCTCCCAGTGTGGCAGAGGTGCAGACCCCACAGCCAGCAGAGGACAAACTGCTGCTGAGCTGGAGCTGAACACAGAAGCAGCCTCCCGTGCAAAGCTACAGCGGATTTTCCTGGCAGTTTACAGTCCAAAACAGCAGAAAGAGGTTTTCTTCCCCACTTGTTACCTGCAGGTCAATGTATCCATCGTCAGTGCTGGAGAGCTTGGAATACTTGACTTTGCTACTGGGAATCCCAGCAGACAGGTTCGTGCGTGACGGCATCATTCCAGGGAAGCCTGGGCATCAGCTAGAACCTGGAGAGCAAACCAAATCCGAGCAAACTGGACCACGGGGTCTGAGACACACGGATCGAGTTTGAGAGAAACTAAAGTCTGCTCTAACTAAAGGTGTCTGTTCTTTCTCATACATTAAAATGTTTTCAAACAAGAACAACATTGCAGAATAAAACAAGGTATGAACCAGCTCTCATTTCACAAGGAGGTCGCTCTTCCAGCAGGGAGATGCCTGAGCTCCAGCTATTTCCAAACAGGGACACGAGCAAATAACCCCAACCAGAACTGAACAAAGCAGCTTTTCAACCAGCCGGATATTTTGCAAGAGACCCATTTTGCAGAAACCACCCACTGGAAACGAGTGAAACGGAGCTGTCCTTCCCGAGACGGCTCCAGCTGTGACTCAGAGGGAGCATCAGGAGGGGATGGAGCGGTCAGACGGTGAGGTAACCAAAAAACCTGCAAAAAGTGAAGGTCACTCCTCTGCCCGGCTGCGAGGAGGCGGCGCTCAGGGCAGAGCTTTATTTAGTCCTGCCAAAGCCATACCCTGCAATTCTCCACGCTGGGGAGCCAAGCCCTGCGGTTTTGGGCAGTCCTGAGCAGAGGAAGCTTTATTCTGCACCTTGGAGCCCAAATTTTTGGGACTGGGAGCCTGGATCCACCTTTCCAACACCCCAAATCGCTGCAGAGCCATTTCGTGGGGTCCGATAACTCCTCCCAGCAGCACCAACGTGCTGGGGTCTGCTCACCCACAGCCCCAAACCTGCACCCGCAGCCCCAGCCTGCGCCCCAGCCCAGCAGCCAGGCAGAAAACGGCTTCACACTTTCCAACCTCAATGGCTTTTTTATTTCCTGAGAAAGCACGGAGTAAAGAAAACAAACACACAAGTTGTAACAGGAAGGGACAAAGCCGCTTCTTCCATAACACTACCTGGCACCAGCATCCCCTCAAATATTCAGTCTCCACTTGAACTGAAATCCTTTGTCTCCCTCTTGCTCTTAAGCCATTTTTCCTCTTGCAATCCTCTCCTCGCTACTCGCCACATCTCCCTGCCATCACGTTTGTTCCTCCTGCACTAAATTTGACTTCTAACAAATCCACACATCTGAAATGTGCCAGATTTCCCAGTTCTGCCCCATTTTACTTTCAGGTACCACAGGACTTCTTACTGACTTGTCCCATTACTTACCAGGCTATTCCTAGTGGCTTCCTAGGAATTATTTCCAATTTGCACTTGTATACATTGCCCTGCCTTTCCCATTAACAACAAAAACCAGGCAATTAATGACAAATTTTAAAAAAGAGATATTAAAATACTCAAATCTCATGTTAAAGCCCACTAAGCTTCACTCTCCTTGTGCTCTACCTTGGTTCAAGGTGAGAAACAAGCTCAGCGCTGCCTCTTTAAGAGGCAAATAACGTGAATTATGAGCATTATTCACCATTTTTCTGACACAACGCGCTACGTTCGTGTTTTAAACACAAACCCCGCACTGCCTGGGGGAAAGCAGAGCCCTGGCTCACAAGGGGGGAGCTTGCCAGTAAACGCAAACACAGCACTTGGAGCCAAAATCCTGTTTATCGCCTACAAAAAGAGCAATGATTTTCCTCCCCTCTCTGCCCAGGAATAAGGAAGGAAGGGAAATGTCATTTCCTGCCCTTTGGGGAGCGCGGACCTCGCACCCAACGCCACGAACACCCCCGACTCCCCCCCCAGCCCTGAAATGGTTTCTCTGCCCAACAGGAAGTTCCAAAATGTCTGGGAACTGCCCCAAAACGGCACACCCGGCCTCCCCCACCCTCAGCATCGGGATAAACGCAGGCAAAGGCCGTTACCTGCTCCCTGCGCTGCCGGGCGAAGCCATCGCTCCCGCGGCCGCGTCTCTTCCCGCTGCTCCGCCAACCCAGGAAGTTGATCGTCATGGCCGCCTTTTCCTTCCAGGTTACGGCCGCGGCCTCTCGCTGGCTCCGCTCGGGGCTATTTTCAGCCCCTGGCTCCAGCCCAGCAGCCGGAATCGCAGCGGCTTTGGGCCGGCACCGACCACGGCCTGGGCCCCGGGGTTGGCACCGACCGCGGCCTGGTGACCCAGGCCCACAAGGCCCACAGGGGCCAAGCTGCCCCCTCAGGGCCACGGTCGTGATCAAGCAGCTTCCTACACATCGCCCTGACACGTACTTTAAAATAAATGGGATTTTCTAAAGGGAGAGCTGGACAGAAAGAGCTGTCGGACACAGCACAGCCCTCTACCAGGGCTAAGGATGTGACAAAGCTGCAGCCAGAAAATAGGAGCACCTGGAAAATTGTTTCCACATCAGCTGAGGATCTGCTTCCTGCCACTGCTCCAGACAAGGAAACTGCAGGAAGTTAATAAAATATGCACGGATTTAGAGCCTGAAAAACCCCATCTCCTTGAATTTCAAAGACTTCTCCCACCTCCTTTCTTATTTCTTTTCATCTGCCTTAAGAGTAAACTTCAAAAGCTTACTTTTACAAACCTGGAGAAACACACACAGCATTTACTAAGCCTTCATAGCTTTTTTTCTTCTTGAGAGGGAATGCGTGTGCGCGCGTGTGTTTGAGGGATGTTTTGTTTTTAAAAAGGGAACATTTTGAGTACTTGGGTATGGCAACAGGGAAGTAAACATTCACCCTCCTGAAGGATTTATCCCGCAAGCTGAAACACAAGTGCGTAGATACAGCTGTTAAAATAAGCAATTAATCCATTTGGCTTAATTTTACAGCATGCTTAAGAGTAGAACAGCAGAGGGGTTGGTAATCCCCACTGCAGCAGGGGGGCCACACCAAAAAATTTGCTTTATGCACATCACTGAAACCAGAATCCTTCCCTGTTTCAACATCAGAGATCTTCGATCCTTCACAGCAGCACATATTTACTTGTTTACTTGCTGTATTTGTGGGTACAATGGCAAAAAAACCTGTGAAGCATCACATTTAGAGGGGAAAAAAGCTGCCTGGATATTTAAGGTATCCACTCTGGGGAGTAACTCAGCAGTTGCTGAAAAACTTCAGGGCAGCTTTTGGGGTTTTTTTTTTTTAAAGGCACTAAATTAATAATTTTAATCATTGAGCTTAAGTCACTTAACTCAAGAGAATAAATTGGGCATGCTCTGGGGACAAAGCCCAATATGGGAGCTGCAAACCATGCAGGGAGCCACCTGCATCACAGTGAGGGAAACCACAGCCTAAAGCATCTCTGCCAGTAAGAGACTGCTGCCAGCAACGAGGAATCCAGGGCAGGGGCATTCAGAAACCCCTTCCCCTGCTTTGAGCAGGGAGCAGCTCCTACCCAGATGGCAGCCGTATCATTCTGACACAGCAGAATTTGTTCCTTAGCCGGTGCTGCCACCGTGTGAAATTCTCCTGATAAATCAGTTGGGTTTGACGTGGCTCAGGGCACTCGAGTTGCTCATGGGGGCAGCAAGCAGCCTCCTAAAAAAATAAGTGTACCCACAGCAGCTGGGAGGCTGTAAGCAGTGCTTACCACACCAACTGAGTTGCTTGGCAGTGTTTCTTCATTCGTGACAAAGTGGAGTCACCAATTCCAGATGAGGTCAAGGATTCGTGGCCAGTTGGCAGTGATACAGCAAGCAAAGAAAAAGATACCACAGTAGCTGCCTGAAGTTGTTTTCAAAGCCTGCTTTTCATGATCAAACTTCCTAGCAATAATATATATGAACATGATGGCAAATACCCTGCGTAAGAGGAATTGCTGGTGAGTGCACCACATTTGTCAATGGAGGGTGCAAGGCGTGGGACAGAGGCACCCAGTGAATGCAGCGTGCACAGAGCGGCTGAGCAGCAGTTTAACACCAGGAACACAGAAACAGCAGAGCCAAAAATCAAGAAGGGTTCACAAAGCTGCCACGCCAGGGAACCTGCAGTCACCACTGCACCACAGTGAGTGCCAACACACCCAGACATCAGCGACAGGACAGTCCCTGCTGCCAGTGACAGGACAGTCCCGGCCAGGGGCAGCTCTGGCATCGGCCAAAGGTGCATGTAAAGCAAAACCTGTTTCACAAACCTCCTCTGCTTAAAGGAAACAGCACCAGGGAGCCATCAGTGATTCAGTTACCGCACCTTCCATTCCAACACATCTGAGCCAGCAAAGCAGAAGCTGGAGGAAAAAAAACCTGCACCTTTTTGCCTGTTGTAGTTCCTCTGAAGAAGGACCTAGGGTCACAGTTTGACAAAGCACTGATTCATCCGTCCACATTTAAACAGGATAAACCCCATGAAATTATATTCTTTATTTCCATTTTCCAAGTTTCAGTTAGAATACCAGCTTCAAAAATAAATGGATGAAGTAAGGTCGTATAAACTCATGGCATAACTGAACAGCAACCCTAGCAACTACGGCTCCACAGGCGAAACTCTAGGAAACATCGTCTTTACTCGAGTTAAATATTGCAGCCCTTCTCTAACAGATTGAAAAGAGTAAGACATTTCACCTTCAGAGAGCATCTAAGAGATTACTGGAAGTACAGGAATAGACTAGAAAAACAATTTCCTATTTCAAATGACACCAGTATAGCAAAATAGTAAGTTGAATAATATTTACAAAGATATCTACACATCACGCCTAACAGTGCTCATATGATGCCCCAAAGCACTGAAATTGCTAAAAACACCATTTCCTTCTCCAATTCAGTTGTGCCTTCCAAAAAGCTGACCACATCTCCCCCTCAGTCCTACTCCCATTAAGAGCCTTCTTGTTGGTCTTCAATCTTTGGAGCCAGGTAGTATTTTAAGTGTCCCATGTCAGCAATCTTGTACTCCACAACTGGCAAAGGGAAAAGAAAGAGAGGATTCAGAAGGTTCTGCAGAAAAGCCGTTCAACCCAGAGCTCCTCATGCAGTTCTAAGGTGGCAGCAGGTGACAAGGACATTTTCAAGGAGAGCTGCTGGTACTTACCAAGAGGAACGTCTGCGGACATGCTGAGTGTCACCGTAGGCGACAGGGGAGTGGCTTTGGTAAAGAAGTTCAAGTACCGCAGAGCGAAGGTCAACTGGACTGGCTCGTTCATCTCTATTGTCACCTAGAAAACCAGCAGCCAGGTCAGACCCCAATAAATCCACATCTAGAAATCAGAGAAATACACGACCCAATCCTCCAGCAGGTCAGAAAATCAGTCGTACCAATAAAAACCTCCACACCAAGGACACCACAGCAACCACGACCACTTAACTTACAGCTTCCTCCTCTTTATCCACGTTACTGGTCTGCGACAGCTTGATGTTTCCATTTCCCAGCTCTCCATTAGCTGAAAATTTCACACCGTCTTTCGCACAGGAGATGACAACCGCATCGCCGATGTGGCTGAGGTCCCTACAGATGCGTGCGAATTCAGCAGAAGGCATTTTCACTACACAGCTGTATTCTTGTTCCTGTGAAGGAAGTGTCACAATTAACCCAATTAACCTTCTACCAAGGTAACACTTGAGCTTATCCAGTATTACCAGATGAAGTTACGTTACAAGCTCAAACTCTTCAGTCTGATGTGAGCACAGGTCAGTTACTGGAGCCACTACTCACTGGAATTCCAAGCTGCTCCACGTCGAGGTCCATCAGCTTCATCTCATAATCAGAAACCTTTTCCTGATCTAAGGAAACAAAGCATAGGTTGACCAAATGTTTCCAGTAAGTTACTGTAGATTTAAGTTTTGCTCCTTTTTCCAACCCCCTCAAGTAAAAGCACCTCAATTGTAACAATAAGATCCTACTTGTTTATTAAAGATCAAAGTCTGGAGGTATCTAAACAACATTTTGTAGGCTGCAAAGTAACAGCACCCTGCCAAGACAATCTGTATGGGGCCTGAAGAGGAGTCCTTCTCTAACAGTATTGGTCAAGCTGACCAGGCTTACATCTCCAGACTGTTTCAAGAATTTAAGTATCAGATGACCCCTGCCATCTCTGAAGTATTTATTGTCAATTCCTCCCCCCCTGCATCTGCACGGTTTACAAAGACTACCTAAAGATACCACGGTAACAAATGAGCTCCCAGATCTAACACTCACTTGGTGCTTCAAACACTAGAGCCAATGTATCCGCATTGTCTTCTGCTCGGAGAGTTATGATGTCTTCGTTTCCTGCACATTTCAGTATTTTGGACATGCTGGGTGGGGGGGAAGAAGAGGGTAGGGTCAGTCCCAGGGTTACACACAGAGCAGGAACCTCAGCC